TGGGAAGGGGGTGGGGTGGATGGAGACTTGGCTTCTCTGGTCTAGGGGGGAGGGGGGTGTCGGGAAGGTCTGGGGGAAAGCCGCTTCCTCTGGAGGGTCCCGCTTCTGGTCGTGGTCGTGGGGACTAAATCCCGGGTCACCCCCCTGCTCGGGCTCACATCCGCGGCGGCAGAGCAGACCGCCCGAGCCGCCGGGTCACCCCGGCCTTGCCGGGCACCAGTGCGAGTCGTAATGACAGGCCTGCGCTTGCGGGACAACGTGCGAACGCTCGTCTAAATGTCCGGATTCGTTTTCAGTCGGGGCTGTAGGAATTGCACACTGTGACCTGTTTCATTACATCGCAAAGGTTACCGTTTCCACACAGCACGTTTTCTTCCCCTTTCCTTAAGCACCGCCATGCTCTAGGCTTTCGGCCTCTTTTCTTTGTGCAGTGGCCCATCCTCCCCCCTTCTCACAACGTGTCTTCCAGAGACCTTTGTACCCGTGGTCTTCACTGTCTCCCCAGGGCCCGTTCGGAAGTCGCAGCATCCCGCTGAGGGTCCTGGGGTCTCCCGGCCCTTCCTCCTGCCCCGCACGTTTGGGGGCCCCCTCGGGCTGTACCCATCCCTGCTGGGTGGTGGGGCCCCCCGTGGCGCCCGTGCAGGCCCGTGTTTGCAGCACCTTGAAGGGTCGCCCGTGAAGAGCCCCGCAGGAAGCGTGTGGGGTCCCGGGAGGGTGTCCCGCGGGGCAGGCTCGCCATCTTCCACCAAGCAGCCCAAACCCTGTGCGACCAAACTGTCACATGTGAAGGTCCCCAAGCTTGAGCCCACGACCAAATCTGGCCAACAGCCTGTTTCTGTAAGTAGTGGTTTCGGTGGCCCCGGCTGGGCCGCTTTTGTTACCACTGCTCAGTTGAGTGGTGGCAACTAAGATGTCAGGGCCCCACGAAGCTTGAAACGGGGACCCTCTGGCCCTTGGTGGAAAGCGCGTCGGTCCCTGATGGGGATGTTCAGAATTTCCTTGTATGGGTGAGCTTATTCTCCGCAATGATTGCCTTACTTGTGCATTTATCGCAAACATGAACTTCCCGTAAGTAAGTGAACGCATACATCATAATCCTAAGAATTAGTAAATAGTAGGGGAGGCCAAGGTTGTTATGCGTCCCTGCCCTGCCTCCAGAGTGTGTGCAGAAGCACTTTGTTGTCTGCAAGTTGGGATGCCAGCAAGGGGAGGGGAAGGGCCTTTCCAAACATCATCATCTCACGTAATATTAAGGTGTTGCTGTTGTTGGGATTTGAATGGTGAAGCACGTTATGCTCTTGGGAGTTTTCCCAGGCTTAGGAGATTTTCAATACGTTCGTTTTGTTACTTCTACTTTTAGAAATAATGCCTTCCCATTAAACATTTGGATTGTACAGAGTCAGAAAAGGAAATAAGGCTCACGATCTGACAGCTTGTGACTGTTGTGATTTTGTCCTTAAAATATCTTTATATGAAGATAAGTTTGAAAAATAAAATTAGAGTCGGGGCACCTGGGTGGCTGAGTCAATTAAGCAACTGACTCTTCGTTTTGCCTCAGGTCATGATCTCGCGGTTTGTGGGTTTGAGCCCCGCGTTGGGCAGAGTCTGCTTGGGATTCTCTCTTTCTCTCTCTCTCTCTCTCTCTCTCTCTCTCTCTCTCTCTTAAAATAGGTAAATAAAACTTAAAAAAAAAAATAAGGGTTTACTCTTATTTTGTAGGGTAATTATGTGGTATATCTTTTTATTGGGTCATACATAAACTCCTTAATTGTTACCGATAAAAGTTCTTGACTGAGTGGAGATTGCGCTTGGTACTTAGAAATCGTGAACGTTAAGAATCTGTATTAATCTTTAAGGAAAAAACACCCCGTAGGGTTCAGAGTTCAAGAAATCAAGGCTCAGAAACATGACGTAGCTGGACCAAAAGCTTTGGGCCTGGATTGGACGCCTGTCTTGGGACCACGAGCCCAGAGCCTTAACCATCCTGTCATTACACAGCAGGGACCTGGGTCCTGCCCACTCACCTGGGGGAAGGCTGGGCAGAGTGGCTTCAGGGACGCAGGTTCACTGCACACTCACAGACACTGTTCATGTGGATTTGTCTTTCGGTTTTCTGGCAAGCCTTAGGACTTGTTTTTATTTACACACTCTTTACCGTTGCATCGTAGAAGGAGAAAGAAGGGGCACGTGGTTTCTTTGTAAGGTTTAGCTTATTGCTGGAGAAAAAAACAGAGGCCGGACTGTTACCCCAGCAAGACCTTATTTGTACCTGCCCCTGCCGGCCAAGCATTCTAGTCCCCTGGCTCCCCAGGTTTCTTCTTTAAGATACCAGGGACTTTTAGTCTTTGCTTCTTTAACTTTGTCTTCTTAGTGTCCTAAAACTGAAGACAGAATGTTTGCTCTTCTCTCCGTGGTGTCATTTTCAAATGGCTCTCGGAAAGTAATTCAGGAGGGAGCATCCTTACGAGCCCCAGCGGTGTCAGGAGGCAGGGAGGTAGATGGATCCATTTGTTCATTTGTTTATTCTTTGAGTCCCTCACCTGAGCACCAGCATTGCCTGCACCGTGCCTTTGGTTTGGGGTAGAGAACAGGGAGGGCCTTGGCGAGGTGAAAATTCAAGTACCCAGAGACCTAAGCTTGCACCTTGCCCTAGGGTGGAGGGGGCGAGTGACGGACAAGGTTGCTTTTTGTCACCTGCTCGCAGAGGTTCGGGATCACCCTTGACCCGACTCCTGCTGAGTGTGTGTGGCTCGCACGGCAGAACTATCTGGGCTCCACAGGGGGTCTTATAAATAAGATTCACCTTCTGAGAATGCACGTGCTCACCGGTTTTGCATCTGGGCTGCTGGGTCTCATGGGGGCGTGGTTACCCATCTGTTTGGAGAGCCCTACGGGAGCCCTGGGCCACCAAAGTCTGGACCAGAGGGGATTGAGGCAACCTGGGGCTGCACGTGCCCACCCCCCCACGCCCCATGTCTCTCAGTCTGTCTAATTCTGTGCAGTTCTGTTTGCCCCCGGTCGTGTCTGGGAGATCAGCTACAAGCTTTTGTATTTTTAACATTATAATGGTGATTTCTGGGTCAGCATTAGATTTTTCAGAAGCCCCTGGTTGTCTGTTCTCTCAGGGCCTGGAGACATGAAGATACAGGATTACAGGAGAATAAAGTTCATTCTCTGTAGACGTCATTCCTCTGATGTTAGGATTCTTACTGAAGAAGGGTTTCCCTCACTTCCTAAGGCAACAAGCTGAGTGGGAGAAGGCCTTGCAGTGGCACATCTTTTGTGCCATGTTAGATGAGTCTCCGGCTAGGGGTGGTGGGAGTTTTCAACCTAGATGTTCAGGGACAACCTACGATGCTTAGGACTTAGTGACAAAAATAGATTCTTCCCCTCGAAGGCCGAGCAGTGCCGAAAGGTAAAAACTCATGTGTGTAAGCGGTCGAAGGGCCCCTTAGACCATCAACGTGCGCCATCTTGGGAGGAAGAAAGTGGACCCTGCCGCCTTATCTTCATGAGGGAGCATTGGGGATTTTCGTTCCCTCAAAGTGGGTTTTTGGAAATGGTGAATTATGTTCTCTTTTTGAAATTTCCTATCCTACGTTGAATGTCCTCGCTTATAGTTTGTTTTGCTTCGACGACGGTGCCTGTGTGATGGCCGTGTGTCGGGTGTAGTGAAATGCCACAGCGTAGTTCCCTCATTCCAACTAAGCAGGAGGTAGAATCAGTTTGTTGTTTGTTTTGACATTTTTTGGCATAGAGCCAATAGAATCCCTACGTTTTTTTGGGGGGGGGAGTATATCTTATAATTTTTTAATGATGGGATCTGACTGGTATATGGTGTTTTAAAGATCCCTGACGTCTAAAGAAAAGTGGTTTCCCTTTCGTACAGAATGAGTAGAACTTTG